GCACTGGCAGCTGAACTGACCCCCGGCGTGACTCAGACAGCGGCCGTGGGCCCCGCACACGTGAGACGAAATCAAACGCACCCCCGTCGGGGTGCTGTTGGATGCCACTGCCACCGTACAGCTGTCAATCACTGAAGAGAAGGACGGGGGTTAAAAAGGTTAAAAGAAAGGAAATCTATCCATTCGCCCGTTGTATGTTAATCTGAGAGCGGTTCACAGAGCAACAGAAAGAGTCTATGCACCCTCTTGTTGGACCCAAAGACTTCATATCAGAAGAGATTTATAGTCCTTTAGCTCCATGGTATACCCCAACATGGTGTAAGATCCTAATTCTACAGTATTCCCCATGGTGACACTAGCCCCCAGGCTTCCCAGAGCCTCTATATTATAATGTTACGCTGTTACACTTTTATATAGTTTAACATATTCAACAAGTCTTTAAATAGCTTCTTAAATAGCTTCTACATTTCTACAAAATTGAATTAAAAACCAGGGGTTGACTCCACCAAATGCAGCAGTAGTCAGACTTTTTTTTGTTTGTTTCATAAATCAGAGTTATAGATTTTACACCCGTGATGCAGAAGGCAGAAACGTAAATGACTGGATGGAATTATTTGTAGGTTGTCTACGAGGCAAACGGGAAAAACTACAAGTGTCAACCTTTGCAGGGTGTTGTGCGGCAGTGGTCCTTCAGGTGCGAGCAGTTCTTTCCCTCGTAGTCCTCAGGACATCTGCAGACGTAGTCTGTTGCCACGTTGAAACACTGACCCCCATTTTGGCAGGGGCTGATCAGGCAGTAGTCGATGTCCAACTGCAGAGAAACGACCAGGGAACGATATAGCCTCAAATGTGAAAGATGGTGATTGTGACACAATGTAAACCCGATAATGTGACACATAATCCCTCAATATAAATGTAAATGTGTGTAAATACTGCTGTTAATCACACACAGTGTTTTGAACTGTTTTACATCAAGTCAAAACTCCTGAAAAGCTCTAAAAGCTGATGGTGCTTACAGTGAGACTTCGATTTATGCCGATTCAGCGTTCTCTGAATGATCCAATGTTAACTTCTGGATAAATTCCTTGTGTCAGAGACTACTCTCACATCTTGGTCCGGTCAAATCAGAGGAGGAAACTTACAAAAGATGTTAGAAAAAAGGGACACTGGCTCACCTGACAGTGATGTCCGGAGAAACCGGGAGGACAGAGGCAGTGGAAGCCATTTATCTCGTCGTGGCAACGGCCCCCATTGAGGCACGGCTCACTGCCACACTCGTCCAAGTCCTCCTCGCAGTGTTCCCCTCCGAAACCTGGAGCGCACACGCACTTGTAACCACTCACCAGGTCCTGAGGGAGAGAGGATGGACACAAGTTAACTTTTATCCCTTTCCAAAATCAGCAGATCTAACAGAACGCCAGCTTTTGCAACTATACCAATCACAAAAATTGACAATGGAATGCAAATGTTTGAATTCTGCTGGAGACAGAATTGACCTAAAAAAAGATGTTTTAAGATTTCTTATATGAATGACTTGGCCTTTGCTGTTTATAGGAAAGCTCACCTTGCACTCAGCTCCGTTCTGACACTGGTCATGACAGTCGTTGATGTCTGCAGAGACAAAACAAGCTCTCAGTCAGGAAGTGTTTGAAGGCCTGGTGTCACTGCATGGCTCCGCTCCTCAGTCTATTTCCTGTCTTTACTTCAGAGAACAGCTTTTGACAGCAGATGCGTTTAGTGCCCCCAGATCAGCTCCAAGTGAAGTTTTCTAGCCTAAGAAAATCAAACTGAAGATAATCTAAAGAGTTGTGATTCAAAAGGCTGACAAATTAAATGCTTTCAAAGAAAAACTGGTAGTTGTACCAAACTGATAATTTTGGATGTTTAAGCATGCTGATAAACATTTAATTACTTCTGAAAACGCTGGAAATGTGAACATGTGTAACACTGTGCTGATCAAGATCTTTAACTAAATTAAATTCTGTAGATGTTTTAAAAACCTCAGAAAACTGACGGGAAAATAGATTAATCTGCAACTCTTCCTGTCATCTGTTGACACTTTTATGTTCTGCCCAAAGGCACAGATTTCTGATGTCCCATTTTATCGTTATTTAAAATGAAAGGTGTGCCATTAGTGAGGGATGGCACAGTCTGTTCGCAGCATTTAACTCACTGATATCACAGTTCAGGCCCGTCCAACCAGGGAGGCATTCACAGAAGTAAGCTCCAATTAGGTTTCTGCAGGAATTGGCGTTGACACAGGGGTTATCATGGCACTCGTTAGCATCTGAAAAACAAACAAGAGAATGATTTTGTTTGTGAACAAATAGATGAATATTTCCAAGACGAAGCTTTGGAATTTTCTAATTTTTTCACTTTTTTACAACCGGTCAGACACTGACAGGACAGAACACCAGCTGGAATTAAAGGCTCACTGTCTCCTTATCCTAGTCTAATATTGGACGTAGGTGAGAACTGATTACAGAAAAAAGCTCCATCGTGTTAGAACTTTTAACCTTTTCGTACAAATTGTGATCACTTCAGTTTTTCCCAAAGTGTTTTCGATTTAGTCAAAAATGTGTTTATTCTGGGATTTTTCCAGATGTCGACTCAAGTTTTAAGACTTCTTACTGTATGTTTAAATTTGTGTTTAAATTTTTAATGAATTAACATAGAATAAACATACAACTTTGTCTTGGCTGACTAACTTAATTAGTTTTGGCTGACCAGCGACATGCCAATAAATTACAAAGGACATAAAAGTAAGCACTAACAACAGCCTCTGAACTGATGGGGAATAAATGCCAGTCCTACAACCGGCTATGAATCATGCCTAACAAGCACTGCCCTCCAATCCAGTCGGCCAACAACCCCTCAATCTATTAACTGAGAAGCAACGGCAGACTCACAATCATGCAAAGCGCATGTACACTCTGATCCTGACAGACAGGTCTGTGAAACACAACCAACACACAAAGCTAACTTAATGACAGGAGACCCCACACACACATAAACACACACACAAGCCAGGCACCGATGACCAACAAAAAACACAAACAAGCAACTAGTCTGTCAGGAGCTAGTTTTGTTTGGGAAACAAACAAACACAAACACTGGTTGTCAGGTCATTTGCATTATAACCAGTTATTTAGGAAAATATTCCAATAAGACCTTGAGCAGTTGCTATGACAACCTAAAGTATTTTAGCCAAACATTTAGAGTGGATACTTTATAAAAATGCATTTCTATCCCGCTGTGACACACAGTTCTTAATCCTGTCGGTAAAGGAAAGGATCAACCTTGATGGGGGGGGTTCAATAAAGCAGGAAACCAAAATGATAGAAAGACACAGTGCAGGAGTTTTGCATTTCATAAAGCAGCTGAGCTTTATTCCAGAGTTACAGGACTGACCGATGAGGCAGGTCTTTCCTGTCCACTGAGGGGGGCAGGTGCACTTGAAACCGTTAACCAGGTCCTGGCAGGTTCCACCGTGACTGCAGGGGTTCCCCAGGCACTCGTCCACATCTGGGGAAGACACACACGCGCTGTTATCCAGGCTTCGGAGAGCAGTGTTGAACAGTGAAATCAAACGAAAAGTTTAAGAAAGAGCTTACTGTCCGAGCAGTAAGGTCCAGTCCATCCGGGGGCACAGCGGCACTCGAAACTCTGACTGCTCTCTGAGCAGCTTCCTCCATTCAAACAGGGGCCGGACAGGCAGGCGTGCTCTGCTGCGTGCACACACACACAGACACGCACACGCACACACATACACACACACACACGCACACACACACAGACACAGACACAAACAGTTTATTTCAGCTCTCTTTAGAAGCATCACTTTTAAAAGGAAAAGATGGGCAGTGGCAAATTTTTTAAGGAAGAATATATTTTGGACCAACTTTTTATTATTCATGATCCGTGTTTTTTTCAAATCAAAATGTTTTTATTTTGCACTGTTCATACAAAGACAGTGGAAAGTTCTTTACATACTAAAATCACCTGCCACACCCCACAAAACTTAAACCTCTGACTCTATTCTCTTTGACTGAAACAATATCCTGAAATAAAACTGAAGAAAAAGTCTGTAAATGTCTGGCCTGAAGCTGGGGGGAGGTAACAAGAGCATTACAATAGTCGACTACTAGAAACAAAGACGTGCATTAGCACCTCTGTGGTGGCAGGAGAGAGAAAAGGGCAGATGTTTTTAAGCTGATAAAATCTTGTTTGCCTTTATAACTTGTGAACCGTGAAACTGATATAAACCATTGTTTCCAGATACAAATAAAAACATGTCCAGTCTTTTTTTCTTGACACTTTTTATTTTCAATATATTTCATTTTAAGAGGTTAAAAATCATGGATCAATGGGATCTGTTTTAATACATCACAGATTGGCTATCAGTGCCCATGAACTTCCTGTTCTGTGACTGTTAGTGGGCTTTTCCTCACTGTTCCACAAGATCCGCCCCTGACACAGTCCAAGTTCTTTCAATCAGTTCAAATCAGCCCGTTTGCTTCGGCTCATTGTCTGCGGCACCTGCTCCTCTCACCTATCTGACAGCTGACCCCGGAGAAGCCCTCGGGACAGGAGCAGTGGTATTTGTCCGGCCCCGTGTTGCTGCAGGTCCCTCCATTCAAACACGGCTGCCGGGTCCGACACGTGTTCAGGTCTGCAGCATCGAAAACAAACTCTTTTACAATCGGGCGTGCGTCAACAAAGTTAACAAAGCGGTTAAACAGATGATTTCTGATATTCACTGATATTCACAGAAGAACAACTTTTGGTCAGAAAACTCTCTCTGTGAGAGCCGCTAACATCTGGAACAGTCTTCCTATGCACATACGGGAGAGCCCCACACTGATCAGCTTTAGAGCTCAACTCAAATTATGGATGAAAGCATGAGACCACTAAAATCTTAACATTTACTTGTGATGCTTATATTGCTTATTATATGTTCTTTCTTATGTATTTGCCTGCCTAGGGTATATGGATGAAAACTAGCTTTGTAGCTATAATCCGGCATATTTACATTTGTTTTTATACTGTTGTTCATTAATGTGCTTTGTCCCTATTCAAATAAATAAATAAATATTTGTGAGCTGAAGAAACCAAATTTATCATATAAGTTTTTATCTAGGAACTGTCAAGATGGCTTACTGCAAATAGTTTTAACCTGTATTCTTCAATAAATGCTTGTTTTTCTGAACCACAAACAGATCAAAGCTAAAAGGAAGTGGGACTTTTCTCCCACAGAAAACCATCCAGCTGCTCTATTTCAGTGAAATGTTGTGAAATCTTACCTGAGGTATGTAGTGAGTTACTGGAACATACATACAGCGATGTAAAAAAAACATCAATCATCACATTTTCGTGACGGCGTACCTTTGTCGCACAGTTGTCCTCCGTAGTTGGTGTCACAGAGACACTGCCAAGGCTCCACACAGCTGCCGTGGACACACCCAGGATGGGGGATACACTGGTCGCAGTAGTCCCCTTGCCAGCCGTACAGACACCTGGAGGAGAAACCCAAAGCGTCACTTTGATTGCTGACAGCTCAAGTTGTTTTTAAAAAAAATACTTTTTTCTCTCGTCATAAATTAAAGAATCAACATTCGAATCATCTTGCTTCTCTAAATATGCCCTCACTTGCACTCTCCTGGGACTTTGCAGGATCCGTGTTCTGTGCTGCAGCCCTGTCTGCACATCGCTTCAGGAAAAAGATGGAAACAGACAAATGTCAGGAGGTGGGGGCGATTATTATTTTTTCAGATTTCTTTCTTGTGCGTTGCTGCGTCGCAAATCTCTCAAGAGGCTCACCCGTGTTGCAGTCCGGCCCCGACCAGCCCTCCAGGCACGTCTTGTTGCCGTTGTGGTCGCACTCGTGGTGGCCGAAGAAGTCGTCGCGCGGCCGGCAGAACTTGTTGCAGCCGAAGCCGTAGTAGTGCTCGTCGCAGCTGAGGCGCACCTGGAAGTGGAGCTGGGCCGCGGCGCCGTTGTGCTCCAGGCTCCGCCACTGTCGGCTGGGGTGGATCATCCCGGAGTGGAAGGCTCTCTCGATCACCGCCCCTCCGACACCTGCGAAAGCGAGCGGGTACAGAAAATCAAAAAGTAAAAAAAATAGGCAAAAATGGAGGCAAAAAAGCAGCTTTAAGATATTGGAAATGGCACAAAAACATAGGAAAAATCCCGAGGAGTTTGATTTGAAAGCGTAAAGATTGTCCAGTGGCCCCGCAGCTACACACAGCCCCCACTTTGAACCGAACAGCTCGGCGTGACGCTTAAACGTACGGCAGACCAGCCGGCTGGCGGCTCCGACCCGCCGGAGTCTTTGAAAAAAAATAAAAAAATGCAGAGCCTCTCTGCGGTATTTCACCAGCAGGGTGGAAAGTGTGGTCGGGCTGAGGCGACGGTGTCGGTTTAACCGACAGGCACCTGGATGGAAGGCACCCGGCAGGGGCTGAACGCGGAGCCCTGGGGCACCCCGGGGCAGGTCCCACCTGGTGTGGAGGCAAACTGCAACACTTCGCGATGCGACGACGAATTAAAAAGCTGCCAATAGTGGCACCGAGGTAACAGAATGGAGAGATAGCTCACTTCAAGAAAAGCGCCAAAGTCTCGGATCCGCTCTGCGCAAAATATTTGAGCAAACATTCAAACCTGACACTTCCCTGATGACACTTGCCTGAAATGTGGAGCCAACACCTGCCTGAGAGCTGTGAGCGTCTGAACTGTTAGTGTCTGAAGGGCCAGTACAGTCAGAACGGGCCTGATGCAATATCTGTAAGGCTTGAGTATCACATATAATTGTTACCCGTTTCAAAAAATGAACAAAAAAAAGTCCAGTTGTGGCGACATTCAGTTTAGGTCATTGTAACACCGAAGAAATGAGAAAAGTAATGGTAGATGTAAACAGGTTTTTCTGATTTTGGGGGTCATTCAGTACAAGAATGCTAAACCTTTCCATTTTTAAAAGCCACACACAACTTTACAGATAGAAACCAGTTGTTCTTAGTAGTGCTAACAGCATTTAGCAGAAAACAGGTGCCTGTTTCTGCCAGAAATACAGAGATGGAAGCTAACTAGGAATGGACCAGGAACACAAAAGGGAACACATGGTGGGGTTCACCACATTAGAGGAACTGTGGCCTGGAGCAAAATGCCTGATAGGAGATTGAAAAAAAAAATCCCAACTGTGTCTGTGTCTCCAGGCGGCCAGTCTCTTCTTCTGCCAAAAATCCAGAATATGGGACTACTTTTTTAAATATAAAAGGGAGCATATGTGAAACTTTAAGCATAAAATGCAGAACATATTTTTTACATTTATTAACATACAGCTTTATATATACCAGCTATCGCAGTGGAGCTATTATGGGTTAAAAAATGCTTGTGCACGTAAAGTAGATGCTGATTACACCAGCTTCTGGTCAGTAAACCTGTGATATCCTTTGCCTGTGAGGTGGTTTTCAGCTGAATTCCAAATTTAAGAGCAGAGGAGCTGATGGTACGCCGAATTCTGCTGCCGGTGACTAACACCTCTGTAACACCTCTACCTGTCGGCTACAGATTCTCATCTACATCCTCGTTAAGCTGTCTTTGCTCCTGTCTGTATTCCAGAACAATGTTGTCCTAGAGCCAGCGTCCTGCTGGAAACGAGGATGTTCAAAGATATGACACAGATTTCCAAAACGTTTCTCTGTGCTGGTTTGAAATGGAAGAAAGTTTTTCCTTGCCTGTGTCGCCTAGTGCTTGCTCGTGGTGGGAATTGTTGGGTTTCTGTAGTTAACTTCAGAGTAGGGTCTGACCTGCTGTTTGGAAAGCGCTGTGAGACAACTGTTGTTGTGATGTGGCTCTATATAAATAAAATTGAATTGAAATTGAATTGAAATGCCATTGAAGCACTTCTGTAGGTACTTTTGATATTCATATTCATACAGTAAACACTGTAAAATGGAAAAGTTCATTTGAAATGAGAAAAAAAACACGACAGAGTGAGATATGTGGTCATCACTGGCAACAGGCTGGGAGCACTTAGCTTGTTGATGCTACACTTAGAGGGTAAATATCAGGCCCATCAGCAAACCCCCTCCCCACTGTTTGTCGGCCACAGTTTTGGAACAAACCCCTTCAATCTCACACAAAGGGCCAAAACTAAAATTGAACGGATCCCGGCCCCGCCCCCACTCCTCTCCCTCTACCCGTCTGCACGGAAGCCACCAGAGCCGAGGTCAGCTGACTTCACAAGGGGACTATAATGGTTCCCTGAGGGATGCCAAATACAGCACCGAGCCAACACTCCTGTTCCTGTTCAGCTTTGCTGACCGCCGGGTGGAAAACACAAGCCGAAAGAAAAACCGGAGCTTCATTCCGTCTGCACACACACACAAACACACACACACACACTCTACAGTCCACTTTCTGAATGGGACCGACCCACTCACAACTTGTTCTCGAGTTGGTGCAAAAGGCTTTGTGCACCACTGCAAAAGAGGGGTAATCAAAAATAAACAAGAGGTACAAGGCAAGTCTCTGTCATTTTGAATATTTGAAAACTTGTAGTGCCTACAGCACAGAGAAATTTTACAAAAAAATGTTTTAATGGCATGTAATTACAGGAATAAAAGCAGCTGGGTTTATTTCTACAAGCAGAGATTTTCATGTCTGTCAGAAAAATGTGAACAACGGCGGCAGCAATCGGCATGACAAAAGCTACAACTCTGGGGCCAAGAACATTTCAGCAAAGGGCTGATTGGGATTAGACCAGCAAATATTTTATGGTGATGAAGACGATTATGATGCGGATACTCACTGCCAGTGGAGGAGTCGTTGCTGAAGTCCAAGGCTTCCAAGATCAACGAATACGACCTCTGCGCACAAAGACGAACACAAAAACCAAGAACTCGTTAATTCATGTGTCAATAAAACACCGTTTTCTTTGTAGATTCTGTAATAAAAATTCAGTTTTTTTCCAGATGAAAATGAGAAGAAATCTGTAAACTGAATCATCCAACAGTGAGCAAAAACTTGTGTAAAATGGACAGTAAATGAAAAAAAGAAGAATATTTGGTTGGTGTTTGATGTTAAGGTTATATACTAGTGTTAAATCCACCAAACCAACCAGTCCTTAGCAGTCTTACTGCCGCTATGAGGTCTGTTTTAGGCACAATCTGAGCTCCGACGAATGGAGTTTTAATTCAGCTGCCACTGGCTGTGAACAGAGGAACGGCACCCCATGTCATAAATAAAAAAAGATGGGACACTTCTGCAGCATCGGACCTCCGAAAAGCTTCACGGGACAGCTGTGAATCAGTGGCTTTTCAAGTTTCTGAGTTTTTCATGGCATCTGAATCAGGGTTTTTTTGGGGTACTTTTCCCTCTCTGCGTTGGCCTGTGTGGTCTTACATCATTCTGTCCACATTTATCAACCTCTGCTGATGTTGGAGCACATCTGCAGCAGCTAAACAAACTGTGCGGGACGCCCCCGCGGCCACTCCTTCATTCGGGGCTGTGATGTTCTGCTATTAATGCGTGGCCGTCGACCAGACTGCCAGTCACCGTTGCAGGCCTCGCAGATGTGACTTATTCGAACCACGGCTCGTTGGAATCCATTCCTCTGAATTCGATTTTCAACGCATTAACATGCGGCCGTTAAATTTTGAGTTTGACCCTGTGAGCGTGTGCAGCAGAATATTTTATGCAAACTCCCATCCGCAAAGCCTTGTTTCACACTCAAATGGTTCTGTGGGTTTCACAAATGAAAGCATGGAATTAGTAAGAAGCAAAGCCTAAAATGTAGAAATAAATGATAACTTCGCCTCCAGTTTGTTCTACGTTGCTACGAGTCTCCAGACCTTTACGCAAATGCCACAGAACTGACTAAAGCGGGAGCGGGCTAATAACGGAACTGGGAACTGGGAATACAACTCTTGCAACATCCTTGCATCATCTCCTCCAAACAAGCTCAGCGAGTGCATCGGCTTGATGTCCGGACCCTGAGTGTCCAGGCCAGGAAACACACTGGGTGGCACCTCGAAACATTTCGACGGCTAATGAGTCCAAACGGCGACACGTGGCTACCTGCCAGCAGTTTCCGCATGTGACTCGCCAAATCTTCTTGTAGGGTTGTGCAGCCTGTCGGTGGTTTCCCATTTCTTCCAGTGACTTAGACTGTCCCGCTGAAGAGGTGGAACCGCTCTCTCTGGCTACAGGACTGATGTGGGAGCATAGTTTGGGAGAAAGGCAGAACCAGGTCAAGCCAACAAGCCTGTGTTGTCCTGGATGGGTTATCAGATTCCTCTGCATTGGCTCTGGTAATCACTAAGCCTTTAACCCATCAGGATGTGTGACATGTGAAAGCAACCATCCATCCATTCTTCCCATCAGGCAGCTCCTAGTCGGCTCTCAGAGGTTCTGCAGCCTATCCTGGCCGTAAACCTGCAAGAGGGGGAGGCGTGGACTAGGCTTGTCCCGATCCGATATTTGGATCGGAGGCCGATATTTGCTAAAAAATGCATATCGACCGTGGGAGGAAATGCCTATCCAGACTCCCCATCCAGTATTTTTTTTAAAGTCCGATCCAACACGAGCATTAGCATCTCCATACCACAGGTCTGTGTCCTAACCATTAAGTTGTTATAAGAAAAAGGAAGTTTTTCCTTGCCTGTGTCGCCTAGTGCTTGCTCATGGTGGGAATTGTTGGGTTTCTGTAATTAACTTCAGAGTAGGGTCTGACCTGCTCTGTTTGGAAAGCGCTGTGAGACAACTGTTGTTGTGATATAAATAAAATATATATATATATAATATATAAATAAAATTGAATTGAATTGAATTGAATAAGAGTAAATCCCGGTTCAACATGAGTCTGACAACTAAGTAAGTAGGCTGAATAACTTTAAACTTTAATACATGCTTTGATAGGCTGGTATCGGATCGGAAGTGAAAAAAGCTGGATCGGGACATCCCTAGCGTGGACAGGTCACCAACCAATCCAACAGGTGGGTTTTTGAGAACACCGGCGTGGTAACCGTCACACTACATGAAAACAGATGCAGGATTCTGCTCATGTAACGAAAAGTCAAACTCACCAAATAAGGAAAGTCTGTGACATCTGTAAAATAAGACAAAACCGTTTTCTGTGCCTTTTAACGTCTTCATATCAGGCCCTTTAACTCATTGAATGCCAGAGTTTTTTGAGCATTTTGACTGATTTTTCAAGAGCCACAGAATAGTTTGTGCTATGACTATGTAAACACCGAACACACCAAAAGAAAGAGTAGACTCTCTTCCCTCATCAGGAAAAAAAAATAATTTCTACCCTATTCCGTTCTTCCTCGACTTGCGTCTCACCAGCGACATGTTCTCTCATAGCGAACCGTTACCTTTTTCTTATTTGCCTACAATCTATGCTAATCTCCCATCAAAAGTGGCATTGCCACCTTGAGGGTCAATTTGTTAGTACATACTCTGTCTATAAGCATGATATTTAAAGACAAGCTTTAGCAGATCGTCCCCCAAGCCACTCTCGTTGAAAAACATAAAAGACGTCTATAGACTTCTTTGGCAGCCAATGACTTAATATGAACTGTGGTTCAGCGTGAGGGTGTGAGCCTGTCGGCGCACAACAAAAAGCTGTGAGAGCATCTACTGCGTGATGCTTCGGGAGGCTGGCCAGGGACCACCTAACGTGTTAATCAATCAGCCAGCGGCTTCTGAGGACGGGGCTTAACGCTTAAGTCCGGCTACGGCTCCAGCTCGACTTGGCCATCGAGCAACCACATGCACTGGAGGGGAATGGGTCTGTAGGAGATCATCGTAAAAGGAGAAGGAGCCGGGCACTGGGAACACAGCTTTAGGTCTTATTAGTGGCCCGTTTGAGTCTGTCTAAGTGTTAATATGCAGGAGTGACAACATCCTCAGCCACTTTCCCCATGTTTGTTAGTCCATGTTGGTCAGACTTAAGGGATAACAAGTATGGTACAATCCTGGTTTTAGTCCGAAGGGACATTTCTTTTCCAAATGACATGAAAGCGTTCTTACAGTCCACATTACGCTACCGAGGACCTCTCTGCACATCAAACCTTCAGAAGGAGGAAAAGTTAAGAGATAAAAGACATTTTTTGAGAGCAGAGTGGTTTGGCAGAATGACCGGGAAGGCTGGCTTCTCCAACGGTTTGGGAGGGACTGACAAATCCGAGAAATGCTAGACAGCTCTGAAAGGTGACAAAATCGAGTAATATCTAAGGAGACGGAGAGAAAGGAGAATCCAGCTCAAACACAAGCAACTTTGCGTCACTTTTTAAATGTGAAAGAATCTTTACCCAAAGCGCCCATCGATTTCTTCTGTCACCTGAGGCATTGCTACAAACCGATCCAAGTCAAACTCCAAGCCAAGCCAAGCATCTTTCATATAATGTCAAGATTAAAAATTTGCCTTGGCTGCCAGGTTGCTGATGAGCCAATCATCAGCACATCTGGTCCCTCCGGGGGGGGGGGGGGGCAGCACATCTACTCCTGATCCATCAAGGTGCAGGTTAAACTTTGCTCTGGTGTCCATTCCCTGTTGCTCAGCTATTGCCTTGACTGTGATACACGGAGGAAAAGTTGTATCTAAAACTCTTTACCCCCCCCCTCCCAATCTCAGCCCTTCACCCCCAGCATTGTCCCGTAAGCCCCAGCTGCAGCCCAGCCTATTGTTCCTGCTGAAACCTGCTTGTATAAACCAGCACAGGCTGAAGGAGCTGAAGGGGGAAGAAAAAAAAAGAAAGAAAAAAATTTAACAGTAACGCAAAACAAAAAAAAAAAAAAAAAAAAAAAAAAAAAACAAAAAGGGAAAAAAAATGCAAGACACCAGGGCGGAAAAGTTGAAAATCATAGGAGAAACAAATGAGTAGAGCTTTAAAAGAAAATAGGGGATAAGCCAGTGGAGGAGGAGGTCTTGGGTGAAAAAGCTGTGGGTTTGGCACCACATTACACATGCTGTGCTGCCTTCACAGCTCCCATAAACACAACTGACGCACACAGAGAGGCTGTTTGGATCAGTCCTGCCACTTCAGACCAGGGAGACAAAAAAAAAAAAAGAAAAAAGGAGCAACAACAGAAACCTTATCCTGCCCCGTTTGACTTGCGATGGCTTCATTTAACATGCCAGTTACTATGGTCGACGGCAAGAATGTCCTTCAGCCGGCCGGGCAGCGCCACCAACAACGGCCCTTTATCCCCCTGCACACTGGCAGGTCAGCAGAGGAAACGATGACAAAAATGCGCCGGGAAAAAAGGCAGAAGCTTTCAGATGGGAGACGTTTATAGGACGAGACCATTAGCAAACAACAGACTACAGCTAATCGTGTAAAAGCTTAGAAGGAAAGAATTAAAACGGTAATTCTGGGGTTTGTTTTATGAAAAATACCATAACAGAAAGATAATGAACATTGAATAACTGAAGGACAGATTCTGAAGTTGAACACAAAAGCTATATTTGTTTGTTTTATTTGAAATTGGAACCACTTTTTGCCATTCAAATACTCCATTGGGTGCTTATTCATTTAATTTTTATCGAAGAAACAACAAAAACTCATAATAACCATTTCCACTAAAGGCTTATCTGGACATTAGAAAGCTCTGAACTCACCGGCCACGCAAAGCTGAAGGGCAACGCCATCCTGGCCGCGTTGCTCTTGGAATTTGTGAAGGAAAACGTATTCCCGCCCAGCACCGGCGTGGAGGCGGCGCCGAAGCTGCAGGGTCCGGCGGGGGACACCTTCAGCTGGTACTCCTTCAGGCAGACCCGGAAGTACGTGTCGCAGCGTCCGGCAGCGCACCGGACGTCCGGCGGATCCCGGGGCCCGTCGCAGCAGGCGCCCGTCTGCAGCTGACCGTTGGCGTTCCGCACGGACAGGATCTGCAGCTCGAAGTGACCGGAGGCCGATGTGACCTGGGGAGGAGGACAGGTGGGCAAACGTTAGGGTATTTTCCAATGCCGGAGGGCCTTTGAACCTTCACCTGGATGGTGGGAAACAAGACCCGACGCAAAACAAAGTGGGACTGGATGCAAATTAGACCTAATTTTATTGTTGTGTTCTATGCAGACCGGGTCAGGCCGTCCCCTCTGGGCCCGGTCAGACCAGGTCTCTGTGTCTCCAAACGGGACTACGAAGATAACTTTTTTTCCCCCTAAAGAAAACCATTAATTTCACATTTCCAATCCCTATGAATCAGAAGCAGAGAAAGATTGGAAACATGTTTTAGGAGTTTATGACTACATGCAGCTGAAACTATTCACAAAGGAATTATTTATGATCTGTGAAGAATGAATCACAGACATTTGATTAATGGAGTTATTCATCAGTAGTAGCATGTGCTGAATTGAGTGTCTGGTCTCTATTTACATCACAGAAACACACAAACACGTGCAAGCCTTAAACTATGGCTGCCTTCCCTTCTAAAAATAATGTTTCAAAATCACATTTTATCCACGAGGAGAGGATTTGAAAGCGTGGGAAAAAGGAGTGCAGCAGCTGGAGGAGCTGCAGGAGAGCCCCAGCAGGGAAACGACCTGAATCCTCCCAGCTCTGGATTCTGCCTCAGCACATTCTGATTCACATCTTAACCACTCACAGCTCGCACAGAAACCTGAAACCTGGCCGAACTAAACCAGAAACGACAATAATTCGGATGGATGCATGCCCTGTGAATGCGTCTCAACAGTTCAAATCACAGGCTGCAAAAACCATGTGACCCAAAGCCTTCAAACTTCAAATTGATGTCCACAAGTACCCGGAGCGCCATTAAAATAACGCACACAGCTCCAAAAAAGCCAAAAAACAACCGAGTCACGTCAACAACCGAAAGGTCCCGCTTCTGTCTCTTCGATTCTAGATCAATAACATGCGAATGGAGACGTCAAAAAGCTAAAATGACGAAGTGAAGACACATTTTCGTGAGAGAGAGAGAGGGTGTCCCGCGGTTCGTCCGGTCGAATGCTGGTTGGAAACTAGCTAAAAAAAAGTTGGAGTAGTAGTTGCGTGTACCTGCGTGCGGGCGGCCAGCAGCCCCAGCAGAACCAGCAGCAGGCTGCGGGCGGCGCGAGGCGGGGCGCGTGCTCCTGCCATCCCGGAGGAGGGCTCGTGCCTGGCGGGCTCGCGCTGCGAGCCCCTTCTGCTTCTCGGAGCTTCTAACTCCTCGGATAGTGGAGGGGACACGAGCAAGCCGGAGACAGCGCTGCAGCTTTTTTTCTCCAGAGAGGGGAAAAGTCCCGATAACGAGGAGCACTCCTCACAACACGGGTAAAGCCTTTTGTCCTGCTATTGTCCTGCTTTCCTTTTATTAGCCCCTCTCACTACACACACCCCGTCTGACAGCAGCTGGACGAACCCGGCTAGCACTTTAAGTTATCCAGGAGGAGGCTGGCTAATAACCCAGCAAGAAAAGGGGGGAGGGGCTTGTCTCCCGGCCACGCCCATTACTTAATATTAATTAAGTATCGGTTGGTTTTTACAGTAAAATCACACAGGGGTGAAGAAGCGCTTTCACACAGAGGCCGAAAACTCGCACGGACAAACGGAAGAAATTCAACTTCTCGGCGATAATTAGAAGAAAAAACCTTAAGAAAAATTCAACCGTCAAAAGTTTTCATTCCGTCTGATTGTAACTTTCTCTGAAACGTTGTCAGGGTGCCCCAGAAATGTCAAATTCTAGAAAAAAAGTACTTACATCAATAAAATTAGAATATTTGTGAGGTTTGGAAATAATTGTAAAGAGACTTTTGGAGTTTTGACCGGATACATTGGCTTTATTGAAGGTTATTAAAATGAAAATGGCATAAATATTCATGAAATCTAAATATTTTTGTAGGCTACTTTTGTGTTTTAAACTGAAAGCACCTGATGCCATCACAGTCAGTATTTGAGCTTGATCACTTTCACACATCATTGTTTTTCTATTTAATTTTCTCTGTATTTCATGTGACGCAACTATTCATATTGTCATGAAGATTGTTGTTCAACTCACGAACCTTAAAGTTTTCTGCTGTCCATCAGTATTCTGTCTGTGAAAAATCCAGAAACAAACACTGGTAAACCTTAAACATTTCAAACATGATTTCCTTTTTTAAACTGCAGAGGTGTGTGATTCACAGCTAGAGGGTTGCTCGTTCCGGTTTTTGGCTGGGGGCCTTTCACTTTGGAGTTTGTGTGTCCAGGACTTAAGCTGCCTCCCACCGCTAAAAGACATGAAGATCTCAAAGTGAGCCTATGGTTGATTGCACAAATGGTTGTTCTTTGCTGTTTCTTTGTGGCTCTTTGATGGACTGGTGACCTGGGAAGCTGAGATATTCTCTACCTGTCTCCCTGAGCAAGCGGGTATTGATGGACGGAATTTCTGTTTGAATTACATTACAATGTTTGAATAAAAGTTAAGTAATAGGAACTCTATATTAAGTACTGTAAGTACGATCAGAGAAGACAGACAGCCTCTTTCATTTGTTAGATTTTATCCATATTAACTCATACAGAACTCTATTTAGGTCCCAAAACAGATCCGATTCACATCTAAATTTTACCTGGAGCTCGATAATGTCTTAATCACTTTTTATTTTAACAAGCTAATTAGCTATTAATTAGCTATTCTGTGTAGCTTTGGGATGGCAGATAGAACCATACATGTGCTGACTGTCAAATAATGAATTTTAGCAATTACATACGACTGGCTGCCACTTACCTTTTAAAGAGGATTTGATTTGTGTGGCTCTTTTTTGTAGATCTATCTCATTTTAAAACCTTGTAAGGCTTTATGTTGAGACTGTTTTTTATATATATATATTTTTTTTATGTGGAGAACAAAGGGAATCAGAATAAAATTCCTCTCTTGTGAGCACAAAGATGATTAAATAAGTATGATTCTGATTCTGATATTGAAACCTTACATTTCCATCTCACATGACTGTGAATATTAATACAAAATCTCGATGTTTGGATATTTAAATTTGACATAAGAGGCACCCAGAAATCTACATTGGACTGGGAAAAATGTATTGGTCGTGATGCAGAAATAAAACAATTTAAAGGTTAAACGAATCAAAATATAACATGTTTTATAGTGCATTACATCTGGAAATAATTTCAAACATGACATCATGACAAATGAACTGCTTTTTAAATCCACGGTCGAAAAAAAAAAAAAGAAAAAAGAGGAAACATGAGGAGTAGAGGAATGAAAGGATGCAGTCAAGAGGCTCATGGGACGAAGGGGGAGGTGGCTGATGTTTCTTCATGAATTAGAGCCTGAGCGACAGAACAAAGGTGGCCTCCTCTTTATTCTTAAATTAGAGCAGCTGGGATCTTTTCCCTTGAGCAGCCCAATGAATAGATTATTGGACTGCTGTCACTAAAAGAGAGACAAAACACTCCCAAACACAATCCCCATCTCCCATCTCACCCATCAGCCCCGTCGTCCTAACAACCACGGGTGCCCCACCCCCTCTTTCATTGTGATAATGAGGCAGATTCAGGACCCGAGGAAGCTCAACCACCTCATCTGGAGCAGATTTGATATAGAGATTTCCCTGGTTACCTTTGTCATTAAATGGCAAGAGAATTTATTTCAGTTAGCATTCAGGTGTAGCCGACATGGAAAAATGTTGCATTGGTGAATAGCTGTGACATGTTTCCGATAATTGTGCTGGCTTTGGAACATGTTTCCAGGGAGATGATGAAAGCTTTAGATTGTTTATTTGTCACATGCACAGTTTTGGATCAGTCAGAAACGGAACACACAGAAATATGTCCCAACTGTTGGACTATGTCCAATTTTTCCAATTTAATGGGAGGCAAAATAAATTAAAAAAAACTCACAAACTAACAAAAAATATGAAAGCTGTATATATTTATCTATCCATTTGTGTGTAAAGAAACAGACATGTATACTTTCTTTCCACAGAAACCTCGTGCACACTTAGGACCAGAAGACTGGATCAAAGTGAAGACTCGTTGTAATCTGTTGGGTTTCGTAGTGGGGAAACCTTTAGTTCATTGTCCATTTAAAATTGAGTCATTTGAAAGGGGAATTTCTATTGCGTTACAATGAATTGGATTCTGGCTTCAACTTAAAATTTTAGTTAATAGAGATGATATTTGGTGCAATATGAATATGCATAAAAATAATTGAAAAAAAAGTATATGTATAATAATATGATATAATATCATATCTATATTAGACATAATGAAATTAGGGTAAATCAAGCAATAAGGATCTACTGAATACTGATGCAATGGAGGATTATAATATCCAGATTTGCCAGGGTTTATCATTTAAAGAGCATTTTGCTATTTCAGTACAATCCACCCAAATCACAGTTCAGGTACTCTGAGAAGTAGATGCTGGGGAAGGGGTGGGGGGGGTCTAGATTTGCTAACATAACCCACTTAAGTCCATCAACAGGCCCTCGATCTTACCAATGTTCAGGTGAAAGCCGTTTTCATTGCACCATGACGCCAAGCTCTCCATCTCTTCCACGTAGACCTTTGCGATATTTGTTGCTTGAGATAAAACCCATTGACACGTCTTCATTCGCAAACTTCCAATTTGAGTTAGCCATTGGTGGCCAAACTGAGACAGTCACAGACATAATGACAGGACACAGGCGATGAGTCCCAAGTTTTGTGAGTCCCTAAGTTTAGCTAACGTTCTGCTAGGTACCATTATATCAAGAGATACATTGTAGTGCACAATCAGCAATCCTCAAAAGTTTGTTGTCCCGATTGATGGTGAAGTGCAGGAGATGGGAAATGCCATTATATGTGGATCTGTTGGATGGTGTGTGATCAAGTTGATGATGTTGCAGAGGGAGGAGGACATGTTGTTTGCAAGTAGCAATCAAAAACCTCCTTCATGACAGCAATCGTATTCCAACAGGTTGACATTTCAGGCAGGAGGGTTTGTTGTTCCTGGGCAATTGTGAGTGACAATTGTGGATCTCTTCCCTATTTTTACATCACTTCAGAGCTGCTCTAACATAATGCTCTGGTGCATCCATCTCCGTTTTAAGGCTGTAGTTTTCGAAAGCTCGTCTCCGAATGCTTAAATGGCCTCTTTTACAGCCACAAGGAGCAAGCTGCATCGGACTTGTTAGCAGAGAAGCTGGAGATCGAGGATCTTCATAACTATATGGAACTGGAAAAGGACAAAGAAATGAGGGAGGTGATCACTAAAAAGAAAAGAGGTATAACTAAAGGCAGGTGTGAAATGAGAGGAAAGAAAGGAGAGACAGGAAGTGCTTGAATAAACGGTAAAGTAAACCATTTCTAAAATCAAAATTGTTGTTAAGAAGAATAAAAAGCGACAATAAAAAGACTCAAAATGTAAATGTAAAACAAAGAATGTAGTGATAACCAGACCGTGGCAGATGTAAGTTGATTTGCATTTGTATTATAATAATAATTTGTGTATAATATTCTGCAGAGAAGGATCCAGAGGATCCAGGTGCGGGTCGGGAAAGAAATCGGGGGAAAATCAAGCAGCTCAAAATCACAAATTAATCATGAAAACAAAAAAGGGAAGCAGAGCCAGATACAAAAACTACAACTGAAGCAAAAATAGCATGGAAACTTACAATTAATCTCGAAAGAATAAACCTGAGAAGGGAGATGGAGGTACTACTGGAAAAGGAACAAACCTAACAGTCATAGAGACACTGACATACTGTATAGTTGAGTGGAGAGAGATTGTGAGTGGAAGCAGCTGAGGGTAATAAGCCGGGAGACACAGGAAGCAGAAGACAGACCAAAAAACTAAACTAAACTAAACCAAAAACAAAATTTGAATAGTCCACAATACCTAAAATCAATCACATAAGAGAATAGATGGATGGATGAATCCGGAGATCTTTTATTCATTCTCAAATTCAGAAATTTTGAAAGATTTCCAAAGTGAACCATGCTTGTTGATTCTTATTATTAATCCACTTTGACAGGCTCAAATACTGTGAACAACAATGTCCTGAAGGAGTTTCGTGTATGAGCGTGAGATCACTCTACAGGAGAGCGTCTGTCACCTTAGATAACCCCAGACCATGAACGTATTATGTTCCAGGTTCTAATCTACACATATATGATCCTTGCAAAAAGATCATGTTTACCTTCTTCAAAGTGAAATTCGAGTGACTGAACGAAAGAAATGCTTTCCATTCCAAAAAGTTCAGAAACGCAGGAGACAAATTGACCAATTTACAGTCAGCTGCTTCGTGCTTTTCCTTTTTCCTCCTGAATCCGATCTAAAACCGTCTTTGTGGTTCCCACAGGCGGAACGCACACACGCACACACACACACACACACACACACACCTTCCTGACTTAAGATGGGGGGGAGGGATTCAAATGTTGATCTAATAAAAAGGGGGGAGAATCAATCTTCTGTCTCTCCTTGGGATGTGTATCCTTTCCCAGAATGCAGCGGGGTCGCAAACACAAGCCCTGTCTCTGTGTCAGCGTTCCCAGCGCCGGTGATCACATGACGGACAACCGTGTGGGAACCGAGAGCTGCAAACGCGCATGCAGAAATAGCCGGAAAACAATCGGGCCCAGTATTCGTGAAGCCATCTTCATCCTGTCATTACGCAAAAAGTAGATAGTGAACTACATTTCCCACAATTCCCCCGCAAAAATACATGTGTTCTGCATCCTCAGAACTCCTTGAGTGCAACTTTGCAATTCAAATAAGTTAAAACGACCCTTTTTGTGCCATCAATCAATCACAACCATAAATATTCGAGTCTGGGACAGATTATGTGCTTTAAACTGAATTAATTCAGTTACCCTTAAGTTGTGTGATGTTACGAATAACCCACCACTTTCCAAATTGTAAATGTCTCTCAAAGTCATCGTTCAGCAAGAGGTCTGATACATCCTGGATAGGTAACAAGTAATCATGAGTATGAAAAACAATATATTCCCTTTTGGATTATTTTCTTTTCTCTTTTTAAAGACAGGTTACTTTAAAAAATTAAATGGCTCCATGAGGTAAACGTCATAGCATCAAAATGAATTTATCATGAAACATGGATCATATGGAGCTCTTTAGAGTTGTTGAAGAGATTATTTTTCCTATCATGACATTAGGCACTAGAGCTAATCTCATTGGGCAAAAGATGAAGATACCCCGGACAGGTTGCCAGTCCATCACAAAGACAAACAAAACCGAAAATCGTGCACACACACTCTCACAATCATGGGTAATTTTAGAGTTTCCAATGAACCTAAGATGTACGTAGGAAGCAGGGAAACCCAGGCATACATTGGGAAAACATGCAAACTGATTTGGACCCAGAACCCTCTTGCTGTAAAGCGACTGTGCAGGTTTTGAGTAAATTTTTTTATCATTAAATGATGCAAGAAGTCTCAGATGCCAAAATATTCTCAGAAACCTTATGCACCAAATATGATACATATAGGATTATAGGGTTAAGTGAATAAGCCATGCACTTAAGAAGGATGGTGACACAAAAATTACATACGATAACAAATATTGTAATCCACAAGTGGAAATTTGGGAGAGGTCTACGTTAGGAGTCAAATAAATGTTTGGCAATATCTTTTATATTCATATCCAGGTAATGTGGGCTGAGTTTACAGTGACTGTATAGACCAGCACCACTGTCTGTGTGTCGGTTAAGTAAAATAAGGATAATCACTTCTTAAATATAAAGGAAACGATGCAATATATCACCAATCTAAAATAAGAACAATGACACTATTATGTGTGAAATACGCAATGTTAGAACATAAAAAACTGTCCCGTTGCAAGCTATACAAAATAAACAACAATGTAAAGATGCAAAACAATCACAGCAAAAACACAACTTTGCAGAGGAAAAATGGCATTTCTGCCGTTTAGGCAACACCCTGAGAACTGGAGAGCAGATAGCTGTTTCCTGGCTGTGTGGGGCAATGAGTCAGTTTGCCAAAAACACGACAAAGGGTATTGTGTTTACATGCACATTTAAACACTCTGCCCATAGTTAAGACACCAAACCTCAGAGAAAGAAATGGAGAGAGGGAAAAAAAAACTCACAAAATAAAACATTGGTCCCATTTAGGACATATTCACAATCAAAATGTTGTGCAATTTTCCTATTTCGGACAAAAAAAATCCTCACAAATGATTCACTCTGAAACATATCTTGATAAATGAAATATCATCCATGGAGAAATAAGCCATACATCAGGAGAACATACTGTTGTGAACTTAAAACCCAAATCCTGTTCTTTCTCGGTGGACACAGTTATAGTTTACGTATAAAACTCTTTATGAAACTCTCACAGTGGGTTTATTTTCACCAGAAATCATGAACTTCTCCTGCAGCATAGCAGATATTCGCCTTTGCGATTTGAAACTTTCCTAAACTTTACTGGTGACGTACGACAGCCTGTCAATCTCAGAGTTAAAGTGCAGGAGATTTGCAACAGCAGCATTCCTGCATGTTAGAAACATATCACTGGGCTGGAACAAGGTCTGGGACCGGAGCCACGGATTTTGGGCGGGGTGACGGTAATGGGGAGGGGTGCTGGCAGGGACTCCAGAAAAACCGTCTTTGTTTTAACATGTCAAAACTTCCCACAGCAAAGGGTGATTCCCTCTCGTGACTTTACGCAGCAACATTAGACGCACGGCTGACATAAACCACGAAAACCTTTTATTTCCTCTACATCACTACAATAAAGCGGTTTTCTACTGTAATAACAAAGGAAGTGGCCAAGCATGGTATCGTCAAACCAACCAAAAAAGAGCAGAATAAAGATGCTTTTTGTCTGAGGAGGCTTCAAAAATGTATCGGATTTACTCCTTCCTGATTTTTTTTGTCTTCAAATATATGATTGTGACTCCGATTTCTGTCTCAAATACCTTATTGGGCAATTTAAAGGTTGTATTCTCATTAAATTAATACATTTCCATTCATCTATACTCATTTAAGAGAAGACCTGGGTGTTCCCTGCAACAGAGATTGAAGAAAATCCGAACATAACACTGTGATATACTTTGGGATAAAAGATATTAACCCTTTAAAGCCTGATCCAAGAAAAATAGGAAGAATATTGTATTTTTTTTTAGTCTGAAGTCTTTCTTTGGCCCCTCAACAACATATGAATAAAAACAAACAGAAAGGATTTTGATCAAACTTGCGTGCAATAAGTCAAATACATACTTTGGTTTAGTTTTCTACTGGCTGTTTTTGGGTATATCTGAATGTGTAAAACAGGGGTTTGAGCAAAGCTTTTACCATTGAATGATGCAAAAAGTCTCAGATCCAAAAGACTTCAGAAACCGTATGTGTCTAATATGATACATTTGGCATTAAAGGGTTTAAGAAATAATGATAATGTCTTGAATATAAAGTATTCAAATAAACAATGTATTTAAGACATTATCCTTTTTTAAAACCGGCAGTTACAAACAGTACCACTCACCTCTGCACTTCTGTGTCATTTCAGAGCAAAATCCTGTTAAACTGTAGAAGTTTATGGCTCTCGCATGACACCCTGAGGGTAACAATATAGATAATGATGGATCGCAGG